CTATGTTTATTTGAGTAGGCCGCTTCGAATGGTGGCTCACAATTGAGACGACGCGTTCCGTGGGAAGAGAATCTTATCCGATGGACGGGAAAGTCAACGATGACGAATATTGCTTTTTGCAATTAAGCTTTTGATTTCGTCTTCATTTTCTATTATCACACTACAATGTAGTTCCAATATTTTCAACCTCTCATATTACTATATACTTGTGTTGGATGTTCATGAAGAGGAAACAGAGCATACCTTGAACTTCTTCCTCTGTTTTATTTATATTACTGATCCCTAATAATAAAGCTATACATTACACATTTTTAAAGTTGCAATTGTTTAGATGTTTTTAAGTTGTGTGTGAAAGAACATTCTCATAGCTTGTATTCTTGTAATGTTGTAGCTCCATTCTCCACATTATTTGGACTCTATTTATTCTTCTCATTACCAAGCCATTGTATTGTACGGAATTTATATTAAATAATAAACCCTTTTGAGTTTGAGCCATTTTGTATTTAGGCCCATAGAATATATCTAAGGCTTATTTGAATGGGCCGCATTAAAAAATATATATATAAAGGCATGCGTTCGCACGTACGCACGCGCGAACAATGTACGAAACACTTGCAGCACGTGCGACGACGAGACTTGAAAAAACGCCAAAAAACGAAGACCCAAACGCAATTTCCAGCAAGTCAACGACCACAGAGATTGCTTTGCTTAATTTCGTCTTCCTTTCTTAAAATGTTAAGACTTTTAGCGAAATTGAGAATCCAGAGAGTAAATCTGGGAGCTTGTTTTTTACTTTTAAGATTCTGGGTTTTCTCTATTTTAGCTAAATCTGTGAGCTTTATCTAAAAGAGAAGGATGAACAAGCCGATTGAAATGGTGGTAGGTGCTTTTGGGGGAGCTATAGCCTCTGTGATCCTGGAACTTTTGATTGCAGAGGCAAAAATAGTGCTGGAATTCAAATACGTGTCAGAGGATCTCGCAACGACGATGCAGGATTTGCGTCCGATACTCATAAAGATCGAATCTTTGCAAAAAGCTGATGATCTTAAAAGTCTCAAGGATACAATCGCTAAATCTCGTGCCTTGGTTAAGAAATGTTCAGGGGTCAAGAAGTGGGAATTACACAAGATATCTTATTACACGAGAAAAGTGTGGAAAATCCAGAAGAAGATTGTCAGTTTCTGTCAGGTTCAACTACAGCTTCTTCAGCATAGTAACCAATTGGAGTCTATGGAAGAGATTAAGAAGCTCGAACATTTGAACGAAGAGATTAATAGTAATCATCGAATCTTCGATGAGAAGCTCGACCGTTTGATGGAAGAGATGCATAATAATCACCAAATCGTCATCAAGATGCTCAGTAGCGTCAGCAAAGATATAGATAATAATCACAGAATCGTCGCTGGAATGCTAGACTTTCTGATTAAAGTGCCTGACTTTAGGGATCTTTGTTCGGTTCCCAAGCTTGGTAAGGCTCCTATTGGATTGAAAGGGCCATCGATGGATCTAAAGAAGATGCTCGTTGATGATTCCGTGAGCAGGATTCTCGTGTCTGCTACTCCTGGATGTGGGAAGACCAAGCTCGTTACTCAGCTTTGCCACGATCCAACTATCAAAGGTTCATTAAGTGTTAAAGTTTCGATTTTTACACTTGGCATTGTACTTCTTGTTTTCTCATCTAGTTTCCATTGGCAGAAAAGTTCGAGCATATCTTCTTTAGTGTTGTGTCAAGTACTCCTAACTTTAGGAAACTAGTACAAGATCTAATGGAGCACAATGGTTACCGAGCATGTATTACATGTGAGAATGATTCTCAAGCCGGTGTTTGCTTAGGAATACTTTTGGAGAGACTTAAAGGTAAAGGTATATTGTTGGTGTTGGATGATGTGTGGTCTGGAGCGGAGTCCTTGCTTGACAAGTTTCCGATTGACATACCGGATCTCAAGATTTTGGTGACTTCTCGGTATGACTTTCCGGGTTTCATTTCCACTTATCATTTGAAACCTTTGAAAGATGATGATGCCAGAGCCTTTCTCATTGAATGTGCATCTCGGCCTGATCACGCATCGGAAGCTGAGTATAAAGAACTTCTCCAAGAGGTATTAGTTTTTTTTTTATTCTCTACTGAACCGCCTATCCATTGGTGATCTAAGAAATCTAATACTTTGTCAATGATGTGGATTATAGATATTGAAACGATGCAACGGATTCCCACTCGTGATCAAGGTATTAGGCGGTTCGCTTAAAAACCGAACTCTGACTCAATGGAAAGCCCAAGTGTTAAAATGGTCTAAAGGAGGCACACTTCTTGATACAGCTGATGTGCTAAACTGTCTGAAGCCTAGTTTCGATGCCTTAGACTCCAATCTCCAAGACTGTTTCTTGGATTTGGGTTCGTTTCTTGAGGACCAAAAGATCCGTGCTTCGATAATAGTTGACATATGGATCGAATTATACGATGAAAGCAGTATGACGGAAAAGAAAAAAAGTATCATGTCTATGTCAAACCTCCAAGACCTTGCCAACCATAATCTCCTTGATCTTGTTCCTCTCGGGTATGTTTTTTAATTCCACCAACTTAGAAATTATCATCTAGTAGACCAACTTATTTATTCGCTCTAAAACAGGAGTAAAGAGCCCGAAGACGGTTTCTACAATGAGTTCTTAGTCATGCAACATGATATCCTTAGGGAGTTGGCTATCTGTCAAAGCGAATCAGAAGCAGTCCTGGAAAGAAAAAGACTAAATTTGGAGATAAGAGACAATAATTTTCCAGGCTGGTGTTTGAATCTAAAGAAGCCTATTAGTGCCCGTCTCTTGTCTATCTCTACAGGTAAATTCTTTCTTCTCTGAAAAGTGAACACAGATCGTTGTTTCTTGATTTATGACTTCCCCATAACTATGCTTTGTCTTTCTTTTTGTTATTAGATGATTTGTTCTCGTCGAATTGGGATGAAATGAAGTTCCCTAATGTTGAGGCTTTAGTTCTTAATATCTCTTCATTAAACTATGCATTACCAAGCTTCATTTCTACAATGACGAAGCTAAAGGTTGTGATCATCATAAATCACGGTTTTTATCCAGCAAGATTGAGCGATTTCTCGTGTCTCAGCTCATTACCAAACCTGAAACGGATCAGACTGGAGAAAGTTTCGGTCACTTTTCTGGACATTATCCCGTTGCGATGCAGTAGTCTTAAAAAGCTATCCTTGGTGATGTGTAGTTTCGGTGAGGCTTTCTACGACGCAGAAGAAATAAATGTCTCGAAATCTCTACCGAGTTTACAAGAGATTGACATAGACTATTGCTATGATCTTGTTGAGTTACCGTTTTGGGTCTCTGAAGTTGTTTCATTGAAGATACTCAGCATCACAAATTGTAACAAGTTGTCTACACTTCCAGAAGCTACAGGCAACTTGAGTAAACTGGAAGTGTTAAGGCTGCGTTCTTGTATTAATCTCTCTGAGCTGCCTGAAACGACTTCGGAACTCAACAATCTGCAGTTTCTGGATATTTCTGATTGCCAAGGATTGAAGAAGTTACCCCTAGAGATTGGGAAGCTGGAGAAACTAAAGAAGATCTCGATGAGGAAGTGCTCGAGATGCGAACTGCCGGACTCAGTGAGGAACTTAGAGAATCTGGAGGTGACATGCGATGAAGAAACTAGAACGATCTTGTGGGAAAGGTTGAAGCCAAAAATGAGAAATTTGAGTGTTTACGAGGAGGAAACAGAGTATAACTTAAACTGGCTTCATATGTTTTAAACTCTTGAGTGAAAAAAGGAAACACTTTTTTATTCATAGCTTGTGTGGTTCTTGTAATGTTGTTTATTCTTATGTCATACAATGTTCATGAAGAAGAAACAGAGCATAACTTGAACTTCTTCCTCTCCTTTTTTTTTTGTATTCCAAATAATAATAAAGCTATAAATAACATTACACATTTAATTAGAGTTCTTTTTAGTTTTTATCAGCTTTGTAAATCTACTTTCACACTACAATTTGTTTCAATTTCTTTTCTTAAATTTTCCAACATCTTCGTCTAAAGCTTACATCTAATGAATAGATGATTATTTCGAAATATACATGCAACATGAATTTAAAATTTGGAAGATATTTTTGGATTTGAATCTGAAAATAAATATATTCTATTGAGATAATGTCATGCCAATTTTTTCTGTACGTCAATCTTTTTAAAAACCATTTGACAGTATTCAATCGTTGATCCTTATCTAAAAAAATCAATAACTTTGAACAGAGTAATTAACCTATAATTTCTCACAAACTACATAGTCACATTCAACATTCTTCATTATATTTTTAAAAATCATCTTTGTGATTTCTTTGAAAAATCCTTAAACGAGTAAAGACTTAAGACTCACAGACGACTACCTTAAAATCTTTAAGACTCATAGACGACTAACTTAAAGTCGTAACAGTAATTAGATACAAGAAATTTCTCTCATATTACTAAGTGGGTATATATATATGTACTTATATTGGACGTAAAATTCTTTGAAAAGTTAAAACTGATTTTGTTTTCGTTTTCCAGCAAAACCATTACTTATTCAACCAATATATATACTCTTCTTCTCAGGAGATCTTTTCTTTGATTAATATGTTTTTCTAACATTTTGATTCAATCACTGTACCTTACCTGTTGCAGTTGAATGTGACTTTTCCGTTGGAAATTTTCATATTCACCTGGTGGGATTTGTCAAGGGTCAGAATAGAAATTTTCCTTGTGTTTTCTGCATTCAATCTATAAGTTTCATAAAACCTCCTCTCCATTCATACAAACAATTATGGATTTGATCCAAAGCTTCGATGCATTGCCCCGCAATCTTCAAGAGTGTTTCTTGGACACTGGCTCGTCGTTTCGTAAAGACCAGAAGATAATTGCTTCCACAGTAATTGACGTATGGTTTGGATTATACGGTATAGAGAATATCATCTGCATGCATTACCTCCAAGACCTTGCCTCCCACAAACTCCTTGAACTTCTTCCTCTTGGGTATGTTTACTTTCCATTCATCTACCAATTCTTGTTCTCAATGCATATTTGTTAGATAGCATGTTATTCGGGAGATTCTGAATTTTTTATATCAAAACTAAGAAAAGAGTCTAGATTTCTTTCAATTAACAAACAAACTGACATATAAACCCTACCATAAACCCTAGAAACCAAGTCCTAATATCTAAATCATTAATATCTGAATTCAGCGTCTTTTTATTGACTTCTCTTTAAAGATTTTTTTCCCTTCTCAATTCTCCCTTTTATATTTTGCTTTAATATCAGGAAAAATGAGTATGAAGATGGTTTCTTCAATGAGTTCTTGGTTAAACAAGACAACATCTTTAGAGAATTTGCTATAAATCAATGCGAAAAAGACTCTTTTTCGATCTTCGAAAGGAAAAGATTAAACTTGGATATACAAGAGAACAATTTCCCAAACTGGTGTTTAAATCCAAAACAGCCTATTACAATTAATGCCTCTCTCTTGTCTATCTCTACCGGTAATATAGTTATTTCCTTTACTATGTTTCACACACTCTTTAACCATATTCTAGAACTTTATGTGATTGATCTTTAACTCTTTCTTTCTCTTTTTGCTTACAGATGAATCATTTACATCAAATTGGATTGAAATGGATTGTCCAAATGTTGAAGCTTTAGTTCTTAATCTCGCTTCATCAAACTATGCATTACCAAACTTCATTACTACAATGAAGAAACTAAAAGTTGTGATGATTATAAATCACGGTCCTGATCCTGTAAAACTGACCAATTTGTCGTGTCTCAGCTCGTTACCGAACCTAAGACGGATCAGAATCGAGAAAGCTTCGATCAGTTTGCTTGACATTCCAAAACTTCAGCTCAATAGTCTTGAGAAGCTATCTTTATGGTTGTGTCACTTTGTTGAGGTTCTCAATGACTTAGAAGTTGATAATGTTTCTGAATCTTTTCAGAGTTTACAGGAAATCGAAATTGATTATTGTTATAATCTTTTCGAATTACCGTATTGGATCTTTCAAGTTGTTTCACTAAAGAAACTTAGCATTACAAATTGTAATAAGCTATGTAGTCTCTCAGAAGTTATAGGCAACTTGAAGAACCTTGAAATGTTGAGACTGAGTTCTTGTAATAGTCTCTTTGAACTTCCTGAAACGGTCCAGCGACTAAGCAATCTACGAGTTCTCGATGTTTCTGGATGTTTTCAATTGAAAAAGTTGCCTTTAGAGATTGGAAAGTTGAAGAAACTGAAGAAGATTTCGATGAGAGATTGTTATCGATGCGAGTTGCCAGATTCAATGAAGACTCTAGAGAATCTGGAGGTGAAATGCGACGAAGGGACTGTGTTCTTATGGAAAAGATTCAAACCAAAAATGAAGAATTTGAGAATCACTGAAGAGGAAACAGAACATAACCTCAACTTGCTTCAACTGTTCTAATGTCAGTTTGCTTTGTGTGCGCGTGAAGTGTCAGATTGCTTTGTGTGCGCGTGAGGTCTTGGAAGTTTGTAACAATGTAAATTATATGTGTGTATATATTTTAACAATGATATTTTAACATTACAATATAAAAATCTTTCAATTTTTGCAGTTTCAGTTGTTATTGGGCCCAACCCAATGGTCGTTTAATTTTCTGATTATAAAAGTCCATTAGGGTCTAATAAATGTTTTAATTGACTTAACGGCTAATGTGTCTTGTCGAAACATTACTGTAATACAACGGTAAAATTATACAAAATCTAGCCGTTAAACACACAACAGCTCTTTAAATTCTCCTCAAAACCCTTTCNAGATTACTTGTTCTCATCATCTTCTTATTGATTGTGCGTATGTGTCAAACTTGTTTCTTATTCTCGACATGTGTGTTTGTGTTCTTGTTCTTTTTTTTATTTCAGGAAGATTCAAAATTCTACGGAAGATCTTTAACTATGGTGACAAAAAAGGAGTAAATGTTTCTGTGTTCATTAAATCTAATAAGGTAAATTTCTCATCTTCTTTTTATATCTTTTTAAAACAAACAATCTGGAAAATTGATATGTTTAAATTATAAAAGTTTTACAAAGAAAGACGTAGACTTTGTTATGATGCAGATCCATTAATCTCTGTAAACTTTAATTGTGTTTTTTTTTGTTTTCCACTTTGTTAATGTATGAATAAAATATAGTGTTAAATTTGGCTAGCTAGTTTCTTTTGTGTTCTTGTAATGTTTACATTGATTTTATAATTGATTTCAGGAGAATGTTGCTATATGTATGTGGCTGGCCTAAGAACGCATGAAGATCAGACGGATAACATTAGAACCTAGG